CTATCTATCTATCTATCTATCTATCTATCTATCTATCATCTATCTATATCTATCTATCTATCTATCTATCTATCTATCTATCTATCTATCTATCTATCTATCTATCTACCTACCTACCTACCTACCTACTATCCATCCATTTATCCATCCATTTTTATCTACCTATCTATCCATCTATCCATCCACCTTCCTACCTACCTACCTACCTGTCTTTCATCCATCAATCCATCCATCTACCTACCTATCTACTGTACCTACCTACCTACCATCCACCCATCTTTCTATTTCTATTTCTATCTATCCACCTTCCTATCTACCTACCTACCTACTATCTACCTACCTACCTACTTATCTATTTCTATCTATCCACTTTCCTACCTACCTTCCTACCTACTATCTACCTACCTACCTACCTTCCTACCTACCTACCATCCATCCTTCTCTCTCTCTCTCTCTCTCTTCAATTTATGGAAATGGAGAAACCGAATTGCAATTGCAAAGCTGAGTTGCAAAATGAATATGAATTAAGTGAAGGTGGGGGAGACACAGGGGGCTTTAAACTGTCAAAACAGAATTTGAATTCGAGTTGGGGGCGTGGAACGAAGTGCTAGAAGTTTTAATGTATTTCAGGACTCTGATGATCAATGATGACTGGAGTTGATTTACTGGTAGAGTAAATTTAAGATGTCCAACGTTTGAATCAAATGTTTTCATTGCTACTAAATTTAGCGGATTTATTTGCTAGGCTACAGAATTTGAGACAGACCACTTTTTGGGGGTGGGGAGGTCTAAAGAGAGGATACCTTGTATGGACACCCTCTTGTTTATAACAGAGTCCACTGTGTTATGTCTCCTTTCACCACTTAAATTTTAGCTACAACATTTTAGGAAAATTACATTTTGATTTTTTTCCCCTTCCACGTTTGGAATTCGACTCTTTAAGAGAAGAAAAAATGGTGCCTCTTTTTTAGCTTGGTACCTGCCAACTACCTATGCTATTATGTGCCACACCGAGACAGCTATTGGTGTTCCCAAATTTGCAGTTGGGAACCCAATGTTGCAGTGTGCAAACTTTAAAATTTCTGAATAGTCAGGGAATAGTAAAGGTTTACCTTTTTTTTCTCTTTATACATGAGGGACCACAAAAGGAGTACATTGATTGGTTTCAATTAATCTGTGTCCCTTGTTATAATGAGAACCACAGAAAATATATTTGATGTTCAAGAGACTTGAAGCTACACTGGTTAATTAAACCTGAAAAAAGATCAAAGCCAGCCTATTGTCCTAAATAAACCTTCTAGGAGGGGAAAGTATTAAACCTCCAATTGGTCCAAATCACTTCGCTCTTCATTAATTTAATGCTTGAACTTGTTCAAAGCACACAGCTTCCCCAAAAAGCCATGTGAGCAGCAACATTAAAATGCAAGGCTACGCTCTTTGTTTTCTCAACTGACTCGAAAAAGGTTGGGTTTGATTCATCAAACCATAACAGAAAAAAGATGATTTGTGAATTCCCGAGTATATATATATATTTATATATATATATCCATGTGATCTGTTTTTAATAGCCTCCGGTCCACAGAGATCAGAAGGATAATATTCAAGATCAAGGAATTCAATGTTTAATTGCTTCCATTGCACGGATTTTTTTTATGAAATATCATCTCTCCACTTCCATTCCCCAAATTAATTAGATTCTGGCAACTGAACATATCATTATCCTTGGCATTTGGGATATAATCTGCCAGGTTTTGATGAATATGGTGATGGGTTCCTCCTCCTACCCCCAATCATAATGCACAAAGCAATTTAACATCTTAGATGTTTCCCAGTAACAAAGCTTCAAATCTTGCTCACTGGACCTGTTTAAAGCAGGTTTAAATCTTGGCCACTTGAAGATGGGGTGGATTCCAACTCTTAGGATTCCCCAGCAAGCATTCCGCACATCCTCAAGTGACCAAGGTTGAGAAACCCTGGTTTAAAGGGGGTACCATTACCTGTGCTGGACACGATAGTGTCTTTATTCTGTTGCCAGTATTCCGTAAATGGAATGCATATCACCGTTCTGTTTTCTTGACGTAGCTGTGGCTAAACCAGATCTTTCCGAGCTTTTCTAAACCTTCCTAAACAAAGTGCAAAGAGGATACATCAGAGTTATAAATTGCCTTGTCCTTTGTTCAGAAAGTTACTGCAGTTCCTGGGACTGATAATCTGGGCAGCTCCCCCTCATTGCATTCTTTGACAAAGTGACTAAATTAATGGACCAGTGAAATGCTGTGAACACAGTATATTTGGACTTCAGCAAGGCATTTGACAAAGTAGACCACAGCATACAGATTAACAGAGTTGGAAGAGACCTTAGAGGTCATCTAGTCCCACCCCCTGCCCAAGCAGGAGTTCCTACATCATTTCTGACAAATGGCAGTCCAGTCTTTTCTTGAAAGTTTCCAGTGATGAAGCTCCCACAACTTCTGAAAGGCAACTTCTGTTCCATTGGTGGATTGTTCTCAGTCAGGAAATTTCACTTTATTTCCAGATTGAATCTCTCCTTGATCAGTTTTCATCCCTTATTCCTTCTCTGGCCTTCAGGTGCCTTGGAAAATAGCTTGACCCCCTTCCTCCCTGTGGCAGCCCCTCAAGTATTGGAAGGCTGCTCTCCTGTCTCCCCTGCTCCTTCTCTTCCCTAGACTAGCCATGCCCGGTTCCTGCAACCGTTCATTGTCTGTTTTAGCCTCCGGTCTCCTAATCATCCTGGTTGCTCGTCTCTGCACCTTTTTTAGAGTCTCAACATCTTTTTTATTGTGTGGGAATGGCCTCTGATTGCCAGTGCATGATTGGAAGGCATTTCACGGCCTTTATAATACACAAACGCTTTTCAGGGAGGGAGGGAAGAAGGAAGGAAGGAAGGAAGGAAGGAAGGAAGGAAGGAAGGAAGGAA